AGGCGGTGCAATCGCCCCAGTTAGGAGGTGCAACCGCCTGATCCCGGAATTTCGGGAATTGACAGTTTTGAGCTCCAAATTTGAACTGGGTTGGGGCCTATAAATACCCCACCCATTCAGCACTGAAAGAGCAAGAACTTACCCGAAATCTTGATCTTTTTCAGTGATTTTTAGAGCTCAAAATTGTTGTAAAGGCCAAAAGTTCTCCTCCCTCTTTTCTTCCAAGTTCTGAGTTGTAAAGAGAGGAGAGAAATTTCTGTAAGGGTTGTCTCCTAAGCCCGTCAAAATGAGTGAAACTGTAAAAGGGTGGTTGGCCTTCGCCTATTGAAGGAAGGCCTCTAGTTGACGTCGGTGACCTCGTCGGTGGAGGAAGCCAAAAGTGGAGTAGGTCAAGATTGACCGAACCACTCTAAATCTCGGTTTGCATTTACTTTGAGCATTTTATCTTTACTGCAAACCTCCTTAATAGCTTACTGCCCTCTGCGCTTTTAATGAACGAGTTTCTAAGTTCAGAGCTTTCCGAATCTGCGTTTAGACATAAATCGGCTTTTTCGTACGATCATCATATTTCAGTTTACGTTTACGTTTAGACTTCAATCATAACTACAAACTGCCTTCTGCGCATTTATAAAACATATCTCAAAGTTCAGTATCTTCAGAATCGGCATTTAGACGTAAACTGGTTTTATCGTACGAACGTCGCTTTTCAGTTTGCGCTTGCATTCTGATTTCCATCATAAACTGCAAACTGCCTTCATAGATCTACTTTAACGTCATCTCGCTTAATCTTAAGTTAAAGTAATCTTAGAATCGGTTTTTACATCGAAATCGTTTTTATCGAACGAACGCAGCTTTCGGTTTTAATCGTCAAAAGATTTCCGCTGCACTAATTCACCCCCCCCCCCCCTCTTAGTGCTCTTGATCCTAACAAAAATCACCAACAGTGTAAGATTTAAAGAAATCATCATGAGAAGTAACATGAAATGAAGCACCAGAGTCAATTACCCAATTACTGTCCTGAGCTACAAGACTAACACAACCTTCATCACAGACAATAGTGATATTATCTTCAGCAGCAACTGTATTGGTCTCTTTCTCATTTTTTTTCATTTCATTCTGTTACAGTGAAAACATTTGATATCTCTTCTAGACTTGGATCTTTCTCTATAACCATGTGGATTTCTACTATGACTTCTTCCACGTCTTTCTTGTTTTTCAGTAACAAATGCCCCAAAAGAAGATTCACCATGTTCTTTCCTTCTGGCATCTTCATTTAGCAAAATGTCTTTAACCATATCTATAGTTAGAGTCCCCTTTGGCGTGGAGTTACAAATAGTCACCACATACGTTTCCCAACTTTCTGGTAAAGAGTTGAGAAGTAATAATCCTTGCATCTCATCATCTATATTCATTTTCATAGCAATCAACTTGTTTGCAAGACTCTGAAATAGGCTTATGTGCTCAACAATGTTACCACAATCTTTATACTTCAAATTTACAAGCCTTCTAAGGAGAGAAATTTTATTTCTCACTGTCTTTTTCGCAAAGAGGTTTTTTAACCTTTGCCAAACAACATCAGCTTTGGTTTCATCAGAAATATGCTCATGCAAGTTTATATCAATCCATCTTCTAATTTAGGCAATAGCTTTTCTATGTTGAACTTCTCATTCATCATCATCCATAGTAGAAGGTTTATCTTTAATCTTGATAGGCTTATACAGATCTTTGCAATAGAGTAAATCTTCCATCAAACGCCTCCAAGTGGAATAATTTGATGAGTTCAATTTAATCATATCATCTGACTGCTCCATTTCAATCACACAAGAAAACTACCACCAAACAACCTGTTGCTCTGATACCACTTGTTGGGAAAAAACCTGTTAAAGCGGAATATTCTTTTCCCTCTTTGTGTATCAAAATGGGTTCCTCATCAAAATACCAACTTGATATCCAAATGAAAGTATCAACCAGCACAGCATAAACAATAGAGCAAATAATCAATCACATAGTGAGACCAAATCTTTTAACGTGGAAAACCCAATGTGGGAAAAATCACGGGACCGTAGTCCACCTCAAACTTCCACTATCAATAATAATGATAACAGGTTTACAGTAAGTCTTCTCTAGAATAACTAGAGGATCAGAATAACATCAAGATCATATATCTTGGCTCAAGAATAGCATATCTTCGTTAGGATCTTCTCATAAGAGAATTCTAGGTCTCACAAAGTAGATATAGCAGGAAAATACCTTAGAGAGGGTAAACTGTAGATCAATACCGTTAGGATTGTAGAGTTTGCTGTAAGGATTCTTCATATAAAATTTGAACCGAAACTGATAATGTTTGACCACCGATCATGAAGCAGAAATCTCGAAAACCTAACTTTCTCTCTCCTTTGCACACCGCCGCTGCACGCTCACTGCGCACACACACTGCACCCAATCCTTTCCCTTGTTTGTTGCCCTTAATCAGTGATTTGGGCTCAATAGGTCCAATTGTCTAAGCACACATGTGGTGGGCTGGACCAACAAAACGAAGCTTAAAAATATTCAATTGCTTTTGCCACTGTATCAAATTCCTCTGACTTTAGGGTGACGTGTTGGCTTTCTTAGGTTGGTATAGTTGAGCTTTATTATCATGGGGCTTGAATCTCTCGATGAAGAGCATAAGAGAGAGAGATCAGAGAGCATAAGAGAGAGAGAGAGAGAGAGAGAGATCAAAGAGCATAAGAGAGCTTTAAGGGCATTTAAGAGAGTATAAGAAATGCTTAATCATATGTGTGAGGAAGAAGGAAGGGTTTTTGAGTATTTGTTGGAATTTTGAGAGATTTTTTTTTCCTAAAATTAGTCGTTATTTAACTATTAAAAGGGACAAATTTATCTTTTTTATTTTTTTAATTTAAAATGATCAAAATACCTTCGTATTTATATGCCCCTTCATCGCTCAAACGATCGGTGGCTGGACCATTAGTGCTCAAATATTTGACCTAATGTTTGATCGAACTCGTTTGACTATTTATTTTTTTAAAATTTGAAATTATCGATGCTAGTTCAAAAATAATTAATTCTAATTTCTAAAACCAAATATTATATCGGATCGGATCGTCTAAAGCTGATTTCAGTTCAATTTAAAACTAGAAAATCACTATCCAATTTGATTATGGTTCTAGTTCAATTCAAATCAAACTATGGTGAGAGCTATTACAAAGTTCCCTTAAATACTTAAGTTATGAACAAGAACATAATATAGTACGTAAGGGGGTTTGAAGAGTTGGAGTATATTCTTACTTGGGTAAAGTAGCATACCTGAGATAAGAATGCCTCTGTAAACGTTAGGATTAACGAAAGTGTTAGTAAAAGCATACATGCGAGGTTCTCGGACGTGATGAATCTCTCGAATCACCAAATAGTATAGCTAATGTTGTCTGTCCACCATACGGCGTGCTCGGTTGGTTGATGTGTTAGACTTGACAAGATTGTTCGAAAATTCAACGAAAAGGAGGTGGGCACAAAAAAACATTAAAAACTAAAGACTTATATTAGAATAGAGAATCGAGAATAATTTATTCGTGTTAATAATTTACAAATCTCTAAAACCAACTTTACTCTTCTCATCCTATTGTTGTTGTATCTGTCGCATTGTATTAGTCTTCTTCTATTTATAAAATTTTAATTTTAACTAAAATAAAAACTCTTATCTTGATTAAGATTCTTAAATCAAAATTTTAATTGATCCCATAATTTAAGTTAAATTTTGAATCATGCAATCCAAAATAATCACTCATGTTCTCTATCTATCTGTTTTGTATTGATTAATTATAAAATACTGATTTATCTCAAACTAATTCTATTACATTTCTTGAACTAATCTCCTAATAAGAAAGAAACCAATCTTATCAACATACTCATCTATCTACAAATCTAACTTTTTTTAATTGTAGAAAATTTATGGGGTCTTATAACTTTTAAATCTTGAATAGCGATTATCATTATATTATTAGCATCATCATTTTATTTATTTATATATTTATTTATTTATTTTTTTTCTGAATTTTAACATTATATTTTCCAAGTTAAATCCTTAAGATAGTAGTCACACCTTCTCGCGTAATGGCTACCGGTGACGCCGTTGCACTCGTTGGTGCATGAAATAAAAGCTAGCTTCTTGTTTATTCGTTATGTTTGTCAGCTTTGGCTAATCATCATGCATGGTTGATAATCTTGAAGTTACATGGCAAACAAACATGCTGATCGGTATTGGTTTTGGCTTAATATTCGAAACTTGTTCGCTTCTTAATCTCCACGCCTTACCTTCCAAGTCAACGAGATAGATAAACCATGGTCAATCCGAGAAGAAGAACAAAGACAAAGCAGTCAACATTTAGAGTGCCATTAATAGCCAACGTAGAAATTCAATCTGAAGCAAATATAGCAATTACAGACCAAAGAAATTTAATTATTTTAGAAAAGGAGATAAATATATATATTTTATTTTTAATAAATGAGACAATATAAAATCCAAAACTTTCTCTTCCATGAGAACCATGGAATTACAGATCCTTAAAACTCTCTCTCCTGAGCCTCCGGAAATGACTCATGGTGAGTCGAATGGTATTGACTGATCCATCGTATCGACAAAGTCTAATTATCAAAGACTAATATAATTGGTCATCGAATTACCGACTAAGATAGCTGGCATTCTTATCTTTAATAACATAAATTAACTCATAATCATTTTTTTTTATTATCATCATCACACACGTATCCCGACAGGTGGTGCACTGTGCTTCGAGTCTTCGTTCGAGATGACACAATAAAGCACCTGCGCTTGCGGAAACTAAACGTCGTTCAGTGCTCTTCTTCTTGGTTGCGGATGCCTGCGATTTAGAGAACCCAAGGAAGGTGTGGGAGCTACCCGCTAGGATCCATATAGTTCATAGTTCAAATCCGCCTCAGCTATCACCACCGATCCTTCACTTCTTCTGCGACTCTCGGCCAACATGGGATCCATCAAGAACGTGCTGCAGCTGACTCCCGAGGAGGACGAGGAGGCGTTCCTGTACGCGCTAAATCTGGCGGGCGGCAGCGTCCTCCCCATGACCCTCATGGTGGCCGTCGAGCTCAAGCTTCTCGAGGCCATCGTCAGCGCCGGTCCCGGAGCCGTGCTGAGCGCCGCCGAAATCGCCGCCCAGCTGCCCACCGAGAACCCGCAGACGGCCGCCATGGTGGACCGCATACTCCGCCTGCTCGCCGCCTTCCGTGTGGTCAGCTGTACCGTCGAGGCCGGCGACGGTGGCCGATCCTTGCGAAAGTACGGCGCCGCGCCTGTCTGCAAGTACTTGACCAAGAACGAGGACGGCGTGTCCATCACCCCTCTGGGCTTGATGGTCCACGACAAGGTCTTCATGGATTGCTGGTAATATGTAGAGAACTTGTATCAGTG